GGCTGCTGCTGCGGCTGTTCCTCGTGAATCCCTTTCAACTTTCCCAACTTCTTTGACTTTCGGGCTATAAAAAAGTCAGAAACGATAAGGGCAAATTAAATTTGTGTTTGAAATACATTGCATGCGGGAAGCTGAAATCACATACTGACACCCTTTTTTTGGTTGTTGTTGGAGACTCACTGTCGCCCAGACTGGAGGGCAGTGGCCGCTCCCGGCCACCGCAGCCTCGACCCGCTGGGCTCCGGCGATCCTTCCGCTCAGCCTTCCGAGTAGCTGGAACTACAGGCGCGCGCTACCACGCCCGGCTAATTTTTTTGATTTATTGTAGAGATGAGATCTCGCCAAGTTGCCCAGGCGGGTCTCGAACCCGCGGGCTTAGGCAATCCGACACTTTTTTTTTTTTTTTGAGTTGGAGTCTTACTCTCTTGCTCAGGTGATCCTTCTGCCTCAGCCTTCCAGGTAGCTGGGACCATAGGCATGTGCCACCACATCTGGCTAATTTTTTGACTTATTGTAGAGATGAAGTCTCATCATGTTGCTCAGGCTAGTCTTGGAGCCCTGAGCTCAGGCAGTCCTCTCGTCTCTACCTCCCAAAGTGCTGAGATTACAGGTGTGAGCCACCGCGCCTGGCACCACACAATGACTTATATTGGTTAGAGCATACTTCTCCTCTAAGCAGGTCTTGTTATGTCAATAGGAATATCAACTTTAAAAATATTCTATTAGGAGAACATGTTCAAAGTCCAATTATAATTACTTTGGATACCAGGAGAACAAATTTCTCCCTCCTTTCATTCATTTTGCAAAGCTTTACTGCTTGTCCCCTGTAAGATACTACATGTGCAACACAGGAACCCAGCTAAGATTTTCAGTTTACCCTGAAAATTCAGATATTCATCAAGTTTACCCTGTGCTCAACAAGTGTCCACTCTAGTAGGACCAGGAGAGCTAATGAATGTGTCACAAAGCTGTATTGCAGTGCAGATAGAGAAAGGTTCTGTGACAAAAATAAAAACAGCTAAAATGCAGTTCTAAATGCTTTAGATAAATTAACCAATTTAACCATTTTATGAGTAGATAATATTACGATGCTCATATTAGGATAAGGAGATAGAGACCAGAGAGGTTAAGAAGTCTAAGATCACACGGCCAGTACTTGTAAAATAGAGACAGGATTAAGAGGAAGGATAAATTATTCATTTGTTAATGTGATGGGAAGGGGAAGAGGTGAATGGGTGGGTGAGTAGATAATTGGGAAGATAGATGAATGAGAGAGAGACTTTAAGCAAATGAAAGCTCAGGGCCAGGCGTAGTAGCTCAAGCTTGTAATCCCAGCACTTTGGGAGGCTGAGGTGAGAGGACTGCCTGAGCCCAGGGATTCAAGACCAGCCTGGGTAACTTGGTGAGATCTCATCTCTACAATATATAAAAAAATTAGCTGGGCGTAGTAGCGTGCGCCTGTAGTTCTGGCTACTTGGAAGGCTGAGGTGGAAGAATCCCAGAGCCCAGCGGGTTGATGGCGACAGAGTGAGACTCTGACTTAAGCTCAGAATTGCCAAATTGAGTTTCTGTGGCAACAGCTTACTTGATAATTGTAGGGTTTTCAATTTATTTAAATATTCTCGAAGACACAGACACCTTCTACTTAATCCAAACATACCTGAGGAACTTACAGGTTACAACTCTGACATACGGTAGGACTACGCTACAGCAATTAACGTGATTTTAAAAATAATCATTCATGTTTACAATGACAGTCATCAATAGTAATCATCTTCATTCCAGAAAAACTTGCAATTCAGATAAAGGGTAAGCCATCATCAAACAACAGCTATATTATTTGTTGGAACTGGGCTTAAGAGATGAATAGGACATAATTCCCGTCTTTAAGGAGTTTAAAATTAACAACACAATGCTAACATTTCATTAAACTAATTTATAGACTATTTCCTTTAATAAAAGAACTGAGGCAAAAAAAAAATCTGATTTTTGGAACTGTTTCAACGGAAAGCAGATACTCGTATTCGTATATGCTCTTGGGAAGCTGAGGACAAGTATTGCCTACTAGTGCCAAATAGACAAAAGGTAACCAAGAGCTTCTGATAAATACATGAAAAAATAATCACAAAGTGCCCCCCAAAACCAAACACCTGCATAATCTAAAATGCTAGTCAATTTATGACCCTATAGGAGCTTGAGGAAGGGCAACCCCTTTGAGTCCCCTCCCACTGTGGGAGCTTTTCTGTCCTCTCAATAAATCCTCCATTTAAAAAAAAAAAAGAAAGAAAGAAAAGAAAGGAAGAAAGAAAAAAGAAAGAGTTTGAGGAAATCCTCGATATTATCAATGGGTCATTTGGGCAGTTAGATACCTGGAACTGGTTCTGTGTCACGTAAACTCTTCTCTAAGCCTCAGCTGATTCATCTGAGAAATGGGGATAATAATGTTTCCCTCTCTTATCTCACAAAGGACTAAATGGGTATGACAAAACATGCTGGAAATTATTGCTAACACCTAGAATAAGATTTCAATGTTACTTCCATTCTTTCCCATAATTTTGTAAATATTAAACTGTTCTCATCCTTGATAAGACTACATGTGATGAAAACCATAATTTAATTGACTACTGCCAAGGGTGATAGTTCCAAATTTTATTAAAAGTGATATTTGCTTGCAAATTAGTGATAAAACTCATTTGTTTTAAGCTTTAGGTCTACACTGTTGTGTGTATTCTCATGACTGATTTAAGGTCGATGCTATGAAATATCTCGATGAATATTGTTATTAATATTTTGAGCCAGGGTCTCACTCTGGTACCTAGGCTGGAAGGCAATGGCATGACCACAGCTCACCACAGCCTTGACCTTCTGGGTTCAGGCTATCCTTTGGCCTCAGGATCCTGAGTAACTGGAACTACAGGTGAGCACCACAATGCCTGGCTAATGTTTTGATTTTTTGTAGAGACGAGGTGTCAATATGTTGCCCAGGCTGGTCTCAAACTCCTGGGCTTAAGCTATCCTCTCCTGCCTCAGCCTCCCAAAGTACTGGGATTACAGATGTGAGCCACTGTGCTCAGCTGTAATATCATGAAGAAGACTTAATATTTTCTCTAGTTCTTATACATAAGGTTGTGGAATGGATCATTACACAGTAGTAAGGCTGTGGTCTGTAGCATAACTTTAACAGATTATCAACATCATGTTTAGCATTTCAGGTACATTTAACATTATGCTGCAATTTTGTGCCTATGTGTGAGACACTTAGAATTGAGTAATAATCTATACTTACTTAGATAGTTCAAGGTAATAATTATCTTTAGTGTGCAAATTCTTTAGCCAAGTGCATTTACCCAATATGTTTTCTAAAAGCACCAAGAATATAGTTACATAATTAATTATACTTCTGTCACTCAAAGTTATATTTCTAAAATGGCTGAAAACTGTATACATACTGTAATCTAAAATTTAAGCTCTTCAAAGTTAGCAATGTCTTATGTCTTTCTGTAACATCATATTATTTCTCATGATGCTTATGCATACTCAATAGATGTTTGTTGAAAAAATTTATCATATTTTCAAATTTTAATAAACTTTAACAAACCATTACATATACAAAATATTAATTCACTTCCCTGTGGGAAACACAGGCAAGCTTCTGAGATTTTATGATAAAATTTCTGAATTGTTAATTAGCATTCATTTTCAAATTTCTACTGTGTAATGATCCATTTGTGGAGTTATTACTATTAAAATGCTATCTCTAAAGTAAGAATAAGTTAATTTAGCATTTACGTTCCAAGCACATGTTTTATATGTTTTGAGCATAATGTCCCAAAGACCCTATGATTAGGCACTAGTCTTATTTCCATTTTTTTGGTGAAGAAACTGAATCACAGAGAGAGATGAACTCCTTTTTCAAGGTTGCAGGGCCTGTCAGTTCCAGGGAGAGGGTATGAATTCAGCCATAGCTCAGAGTTCATGCTTTTAACTTCTATCCTCTGTGCAATTTCTCTCCTCATTCTTTTATCTATATTTTATTTTTATATTTTAAGATTAGCACGAGCTTCCAATCCAAGTGCATAATTAAGATGTTTGCTAATTACGCTGGAGCCTTTTTGGCTAAAGATACTTAATGAGTGTGTTTCCATTATCTGAAGCATCAGTGGACATACATCTGGGGTCTTATCACTGTTTAGCACCTCATTAAATTAACATGGAATTAAGGGCCGCTGGGCTTGTTCCCACATGTTCCCAGGTGGCCAGAGCCACATACCATTTCTTTTTCTTTTTTTTTTTTTTGAGTTGGAGTCTCACTCTCTCACCCAGACTGGAGTGCAGTGGCCGCTCCCGGCCACCGCAGCCTCGACCTGCTGGGCTCCGGCGATCCTTCCACCTCAGCCTTCCGAGTAGCCGGAATTACAGGCATGTGCTACCACGCCCGGCTGATTTTTTTATTTATTGTAGAGATGAGGTCTCGCTGCCCAGGCGGGTCTCGAACCCGTGGGCTCAGGCAATCCACTCACCTCAGTCTCCCAAAGGCGCGGGATTACAGGCTGAGCCACCGAGCCCAGCATACCATTTCTTAACTGCCAGCAAAAGAGACTGTGTGTGTGTGTGGAGTCCATGAATGAAACATAAACGTCCCCTAGTCCCACTAAAACTCACTAAAGAGAGGAGTTACGCTTGTTCTACCTGGATGCTAGAATAGTCAGGATGTGCTTAGTGGCTACCCTCATGTGCCAAGTCCTTAATTACTAGCAGTATCTTGGCACCCACTTTGTCCTGGCACTGCTAGGGGACAGATTCTCCATGACTTGTTCCCCTAGGAAATGGCAATTGGGAGGCCTTGCCTCTTATGCTGACCAACATGCAAAGCTGCAAGTCGGGTGCATCTTGGTGGGACCCTATACATTGGGAAAAGTTTCTAATGGGATATTAAGATTCATAGAAAGTCTTGAAACATGGTATGGCAAGATTTCCTTTTTGAATGTAGCAGCATCCCCCTCTTTTTTTGAGCTGGGGTCTCACACTGTTGCCCAGGTTGGAGTATAGTGGCATGATCACAGC